ATTGCGCAACACAGTTTTTGAGGTTGAGTGAGAGCGAGTAGAACTGTTTTCATGTGTGTGTGTGTGTGTGTGTGTGTATATATGCTCCACCACTACCGCAAAAATGCATATGCAAACAGACTCGAAATTTTTTTCGACTTTTCTCATATACTGTTTGTATTTGTTGTGCCTTTCATTATGTATTATTCTACCAAAGTTTTTTTTTCTTTGACGAAATTTGAGATGACTTTTTTTCTTGCGTTTTGCTGTTTGTTACTTATGACATTTGAATTTTTCTTGTTGTTACAGACATGTTTGAAGAAGGAAGAAAAGACACTTGACTTTTTCTGGATTCTTTTTTTGAAAAAAGTTATGAATGATCTGCCATTCAGATTTTTTGTTGAAACTATTTCAAATGTTCGAAAAATTGTTGTTTCTCTGAAACTGTTTGTTAGGAGATTATTAGATTTAAAAAAAAACGCAGAATTATTTGTAATATAATTTTTTGAACTAGGAAACCCTGGTATCAAGAGTTTGAATTACTCCAAAACTGTTTTGCTCTTTAGAATCAGAAAAATCATTAATCTTAATATTCACCTATAATTTTCAAAATTGGTTATAATTTTTTCTTTTGAAATTTTTGGGTAGTTTTAAGTAGGTTTTTGAAACATAACCATTGTCTGATTTTCGCTTAGGCTTTGATTTTTTTTGTTGCGAATTTTTTTTCAAAAATTTGAGAAAGTAGAGTACATATTGAAATCTGAAATCTGATTTTGAAACCAAACAAAATGCAATTTTTAAATCTCCAAAGTTTCGGACAGTAAAAAATGAAAGAATTCAAAAATGAATCATATTCTTACAAAGTTAGTCTCATGATTTTTGAAACAAATTTAATTTGTTTCGAAAGCACCTTGATTTTTTTCATGTGGCTGTAATATTTCTCATTTTCGATTTAACAAAAATCAATAGCGTTATTATTTTTCAGGGGAACTTGGATTTTTTCTAGAACTCTTTTTTTACGCCCCCTTCCGGAAAATCTTTGAATAAAATAAATTTTTCGCAACTCTCATTACCAGACAAGTTTTTTGCAACCACCCGATTAACCGATTGCTCTCTCGTTGAAATAATCAAAAAGAAGAAAATGATGAAATTAGACAGTCTCAATCAAAAAAAAAGCCTCCGACACTTAGTGCGCGCGCATTTTTCTTTTTCTTAATATTGCCAGTCAAGTCAACCTCATATGCAAATAGAGCCCACACGTAAGAAAAAAAACCAGAGAAAAGGTTACTGGTGGCGCAAGAGCTACTGTTCTTTTTCTTCTTTTTCATTTCAACTCTTTTTCTCTCTCAATATCACATACACACTGTTTTTTTAACTTGCTCTCGGCAGTTTTTTATTGTGTTGTGTTGTGTCATTTATATATTTATATATTTCGACTAATTTTTTTAGTTGACTCTCAACTCGTTGGCGTATAATTTTTGTGTCTCGTGTTTATCGAGGATTTTTTGTGGGGAGCTGACTGCAGTCTTTATGTAAACGAACCTTGCCTTGAAATTCGCTATATTTTTTTTTGATTTTTTATATGAGATAGATTTATTACTGTGGATTTTATTTGATAGAACATTTTGCTTTGAAGTTCGGTTTTGTTGATTGAAAAAATGCAACATTTGATTACGATAAGATACAACAAATATTTATAATAAATCATCTCATTTTCATTCATCTTTGTCTTTTGATTTCTGGATCATCGATAACATTTCTTGATTTTTGTGAAGCTCTTTGAAAACTGAAAAATCTATTTTTCAAAAAACATCAAAAGTTTTTGTCGAAAATTTGAAACGCTTTACAGAAAGTTAGGATTCTTTTAAAAAATGCTGAAATTAATTTTGCTCTGAAAACTCGATATTTTATAAAAAAATTCCTTCGAACGAACAGTCAAAAAAGTTCATCTTCTCATAAAAAAGATGTAAAGCAAACAAATATATAATATTTTTATTAACAATTTTTAGACAATTAAAAAATTGCAATTAGTCTGTTTGTTTGTTTTTACAACGCAGTTCGCTGATGATTCTTTTCGTAATTATTTTCATCTTTCGTATCATTTTATTCTATTATTTTTTCTCAAAAAAAAATTGATCTACCGTAGCCCCAACATCCTCCGCCTACTTTCCTTCTCGATTCTCGAATATGCATATATGCCTATCAAAAATCTACCGTATACCTTTTCAACCAATAAACACAAGCCATCTATTTTTTCCTCTCGTATGTATATTTTTGTTGTCTTTCTCTCTTTTCTCTATATTTTTTTCCTGTGTGTGTGTGTGTCTCTTTTTCATGTGTCGCGCTCGCATATAGATATATGCATAACAAAACGACCTTGGCGTCAAAAAAGGCGCTGACTGAATAGTTTCACAATATACTTTTCTTAACTTTACACACAGAAAAAGAGACAATAATATAATGAGAAATAATGAGAAAATACACGGAGGGCAAGTTGACATAAGTATTTGAGAACATTATGGCAGGGGTTATCATTTTCTTTGTTCCGTGGAATGATTTGAGAAAAATGGAAGAATAGAAAATTAATACATCTGGAAATTTTATTGACTGGTTCTCGTGACAAACAGAACATTTTTGTTTAATTTTTTCTGTACATATATTTCAAATTTGAATTCTGAAAGTCAATTTTTAAAAATTGGAAAATCCCGATTTTACTCTTAGGCTAGGAGAAGGTAAACACTTTTGTGAGACTTTTCTAAAAAAATTGAAAAAATTTCACATTTTTTCTAAATTTTTAGAAAAATATGCATATGACATGACATAAATATTTTTGGAATGGTTTTTTTAGGATTTCGAAATTTTGAATCAATATTCACCTATTTGTTGCAGTTCTCAATTTTCTCATCGAAAATAATTTTTTTCTTGAAACTCATGAAATTTGAAAATTTCCATTTTCCGTTAAAAATCAGTAGGACTTTTTTAAAAATATTTTTAAACAAGTTTTCAAAAATCTCTCTCTTCACTTTGTTAAATGCTCAAAAGTATACATATTTTCATTGTGATTCGTCATCCTCTTTCATTTTCCACCTCCATTATTGAGAAAATATGAAAAATATAATATTACATATCGATAAGATATTTCAATTTTAGTTTCATACAGAAATATGGCTGGATGATTACAAAATCCCCTTCTTCTCGCCCACCTTTTTGTTTCGTTTCAATAAATATGAAAATTCTTTCATTTCTCGCGTTTAAATATATAGATAGATAGATAGATCTAAACTATTATCGAATCTATTATTTTATTGCCTTTTCATCATTTTGCTCCCGGCCATCCATTTGCTTTCATGTAGAGAAGGACCAATTTTATTTTTATTTTAAGAAAAAAAACGAGAGAGAGAGAGAGAGAGAGGGAAAAAAATAGTGAAGAAGTGAAGTGCAAAGCATTTTTGGCACCTCCAATTATATTATTCAGATTCCAGATTCTTTTGAAAAGTAAGTCATATTCATGCATTTTTCTTCTTCTTCTTCACCTCACTTAACTTTTACATATTTCTTATGCGGCTAGGCCCAACCACAAAATAAAAAAAAAGAGATTCTACAAACAACATACATACATCCATACATACATACATTCATTGTGATTATTCATAGAGCCATTTGAGAGACTGCGCGCATTTTTTCGCTTGCATAGGCAAATGCCCTTATTTGGTCCGCGTATCTGAAACTACTTGGCTTTTAGGTTTTGTGCTCGTTATCATTTACTATTCATAACTTTTTGCATCCTACAATAATCAAACATTTTCAAATAACTTTTTTTTATTTTTTATTTTTTAACCCCTCGTAAAATAAACAGTGTAATTTTCTTTGTTCCAAACATGTTTCTTTAATTTTTTCAAATATACAGTTTTTTGTAATTTTGAGAGTTGTCGAAGTGATAATTATTCAAAAAATTGTAAACTTTACTGGAAATTTTTTGAGTTTCTCAACTTTTAAAAACTTCTGAAACTTTCCTTGTTTTCTGAAATTCTAGAAAAAAAGGAAGTTCAAGTTTATCCTAAAATACTCTTGAAAACTTCTGAATCTTCCTTGAAATCCTATCTTTCTAACCCGATCTGAAATATTTCTCAACAAAGTTGTTGTTTTTGATTTTGTCTTAAAAATCAATTGATACTGACTGACTGAGATTTGAAAAAAAAAAACGAAAAGCTGTTGTTTTTGCGTAATTTGTTGGAGATGGAGTGAGTTCGAGATATATATGTGTTTTTGTGTTGTGTTGTGTGAGGGAAAAAGATAGCATGAGCCAAGTGGTGTGTGTGTGTGTGCGCTCACAAAAGACTAGGTAATGAATGTATAGTGTAATGATCCTGAGAGGAGCTGTTTGAGCAAATGCACACAACATATCATATCATTCATTACATTTTCATCTTCCCACTTTTTCCGAAATTTTTTTGACGTTTTATGAATATGCATAATATGAATTTCAATCTCGAATTTCAACTCTTCTTATTTATTTGCCTCACCAAATTTCCCCTTTTTTTCGAAATTGCATCTCTTTTTTCCCATTTTCTCTTATCATTTTGTTTCGCTTGTTCTTTAATATGCAAATTTGTCAAACAGTTCTCGAAAGAGAGCAGCTTATCAGTTTTTGGCTCTTTATTTCATTATAATAAAACTTTTAATAACGAAGAGACACTTTACAATGTTTTTTAATTACAGTAATCAAAATTTTGTCTCCATTGTTAATTATTGTTTGCTCTCGGATAATAAATGAATCATTATTTATATTTCTATATTCATTTATTTAAATATACGGTAGATCAAGATTTTTGAAATTAATGAAAAAACGTTTTTTCTCTCATCTTGAGCAAAATTTGCTTGATTTCCTCATTTTATATGCCAATATTACACTATATCTTTTATTCTTTTCTTCTTCCAATTGATTTTTTGTCAATCTAATTATCCGTGTTTTTTTTCAGGAACACAATTACATTTTTATATTTTAATCAGATGATAGAATTATGAACGGCTTGGAACATGCACTACATTTATTGGCAGGTTTGTTTATTTTTGGAACATTTTTTCATGGTTGAGTTACTTCTTTATTGTTCGAGATTTGAACAATTTTTGGTTAATTTTTTGGGTTAAAAAATTGACTTTGAGAAAAAGAAAATGAGCTCTGTTGAATTTTCTGAAGTTTTGTTCTTAGGTTACTGTAATTTCAATATGTAGTGAATTTTAGAATAAACTTTTCTATATTTTTTGAATCTAGGTTACTGTACTCATAAGGTAGAAATTCAATATTTTCCAAATTTTAAATAGTTTCAAATGGATTCTTCAAAATATGGTATTAAGGTGAAACGTGATTATATTTTTGTGGTTCAGAATCTTTTTTGAAAAGCCCTCATTCCGATTTTCTAGGAATTCATGTAAATTAATACATCTGTCAAAGTCGAAAACTTTCCAGATGTATTTTACATTTTTCTCGGAACAAACAAAAATGTTGCATTTTGTTGGTTTCGATTTTTTTTCAAATCATTCCATCTTTTTCTCATCATCTTCTTTCTTCTTCTTCAATTTTTCCTATACAAATTTTGTTTAATTATTTCATCTCTTTTTTGTTGCTCTCTCTGTTTTTTTGCCAACAAACGAAACGCAACGCAAATTTCGAATATCTCAGTCAAAAAATATTTATTTTCAAGGATGACAGCTGTTTTTGCTTGATGTTTAAATAATAAGATTTTATTGAACAAGTTTTGTTTTTTTTCTTTTTCCTGGTTGGTTATGTAATTTTCTATCAATCATGTGATTTTCGAAGAAGAAAAAATATCTGAAGAGCAGAAAAATTGGGTTAAAATTCATGTCACATTTTGTACACATCAACAACAACTTCATCAGAATCACTTCATATGGAAAATTAAATTCAAAAGAAGAAATAGCAAAATCTTTGATTTTTCAGAAGCCAACGGCTCAATTGCTCCAGAACGTATAAGTCCATCACAATCCGGTTCAAGTAAACGGAAAAGTCGACCAGTTAAACGAATAATTCATGAAGAAGAGGTTAGTTTTTTTTCAAAGGGAGAAAAAGAGGAACACCAAAAATGTTGCAAAATTTTTGAAATAAATTATTCATGAAGAAATATGTACAGTAAGATTCTTAGAAAAAAAAACAAACATCTAGCTTTCAATCCATTCCAAAATGGAACAAATAATTGAATTGGGAAATGTCCACATTCACCCAAGACATACACCCACGAAAAAAGCCAACAAAAAACGACGTTGCGTTGCAAAAAAGTAAAAAAAAAAAGATGGGCTCAGATTCAGATTATGTGGACAACAAGAACAAAAGGGAAAGCAAAAAAAAGAACATTTCTTTTTTTGCCTCCTTTTTTGTCTATTTGTGTGTATGTCTCTTTTTCGCCCTTTTTTTATTTTTGTTTTATGTTTTTTGAATATGTCAAGTTAGCGGAAAAAAGTTGTGAGCCAAATCTTTTTTTCTGGCGTTTTTTGGTTGAGCCTTTTTGCAACTTTTTTTATTCGCTGAGGATTTGAAATTGAGCATTTTCAAATGTTTCCAACTTTTGTCTATAGGTTTTTAGAAAAATATGGTAGATCTTGAATGAAAATTTTGAAGGACTAGGATTTTGACATTGAGAATTTCCTAATTTACGGTTAATCCCAAATTCTTCATTACTTCTCATACAGTACTTCTTATTTTTTAAATTCTCTGGACCCGAGCCATGGAAATTCAAATTTTTTTTTCCGATTTTGAAAATCATTGTCTCCTAGCACCACAGTAATCCTCTGAGTTCTATGATTTCAAAACCAATCCCCCAATTTTGAAAGGATGTTGTGAAAACTACAGTAATCCTTATACATTTTTCTGAAAAATCAAGTCTCAAATTTCTGAAGTCTAGCAAATACAGCAATCCTTTTCATTCTGATTCATCTTTGGAAAACACTGTTTTTTTAACCATTTCAGTATGAACATTTCCTTTCGCTACAGTAATCCTGCTCATTCTAAACCCTCCTACATCATTCAATTCCTCCCTCTTTTATGCCAAATATATTTAGAAAAACAACTAATTGTAATTATTAATATATTTAAAAAAGTAGCGTGATGATGATGATGAGGGCCACGAATGACTGGAGCAAAAAAAAAAGAAAAAAACGAGTAGAAGAGGAGTAATTGAATAAGTAATGAGCAACGACGTCTTCGAGCCATATACACACAAAAAGGAAGAAGGAAAAGATCTCTTCGTATTCTGAAAGAGTCTCACAGACAACTATTGCGTGTGTTATTTGGAGACTTTTGGTCATAGATAATTTTTTTTAATTCAAAAATCCTCTTCCTTCCTTTTTTCATTTCTTCTTCATTTTCCACCCTCTCCACCGAAATTTGAGAACATGGGTTACTGTAATAAAGTAACTTTATTTTAAACCTTGTTAATCTGTTTCTCATTGTTTCTCTCTTTTTGGAACAAATTCTTTTTTACTTGCTTTGAAACGAGAACGAGAAAAGTGTCTTGATGTGAGCCATCTTTTTTTTGCAACATCACTTTACTTTTTCTTCCCCCCCCCCCCCCAAAAAAGTTGCTTTTCGAAATTTTCACTTACCTGCCTGCTTCCCTTTGAAAAATAAATAGTTATTTATATATTTTTCCGAAAAAAAATTCAAATGTCATAATAATTGTGTATGCAACTTGTTGACCTCGATTTTCGATTTATGTACATTTTTCAATTCATGTTTTTTTTTCCGAATTTTTGGCGGTCAATATAAATAATCTTAATTTGAAATGTGTATTTCTTGACATAAAATTTATGGAGAAAAAACTTTTTCGGGCACCGCTTTGTTGATTTAGTAATCATCGAAAGAGCAAATTGAGCAAACGCAAGTTTTGTAAATGAAATAAATATAAATTAAATATTTCAATTTTTTGAGAAAATATTATTGGGGGACTGTTATTTTCTTACCGTACTTTCATATTTTCCAAAAATAATGTTCCTTCTCCTAGGTCCCCGACCTTTTCTATATAAAAAAAAACAATTCAAACAATCCATGTTTTCTTGCAGGATTTTGACACTGGAGATTTGGAATGCGCTGCCATGCCTTTAGACTCGGCCGAACCATTGTTGGCTTCAATTCAACAACAAATAAGCAGCTATGCGAGTGAAGGAAGTCATCGGTTAGTTTTCTTGTTCTTCTATTGTTTTTTGAATTTCTCTGAACTAGCCGACATCTACAGAAATCATTGAATTCTTAGAAATCAATCCCTACTCACAACCAAAACAATTTCAGAATGTTATTTTATTTTAGTTCAATTTCAAAAAAAAAGAAACTTTTATTCATTTTCGGTGTTAATTAAATAGTCATTCAAATTAAATGCGCGAAAAGAAAAGGGGTACGAAAAAAAGTATACTTAATATTATGCAACAAATATTAGAATAAAAAAGTAGTGTCGAGAATAAAAAGTTGTGTCACTTTTTTTGCTGATATTCCTAGTTTTCACAAGTAGTTTTTTGTTGTTGTTATTGTTGTTGTTTTATTTCGAAAATGAGATTGATTCAAATTTTATTCAAAATGGAATATTATTGTTGCTTGAGGGCCTGTTTAAGAACGAAAATAAGCAAAATACTGAAAATAATAATAATAATAAGTGAAAACAACACGAAAGGGTTCCTTATTCATCTTTTCATTTCTTCCGTCAGCCCTCCATTTTTTTTTCATCCGTTTTTTTTTCATTTTCTTATGTCTGTCTCAATGTACATTGTACTGCGCCCAAAAATTACTAATGACCAATAAATTAGACGGACCACATGCTCCATTTCAATGTTGCTCTTTTCTTTTTTTTCGAGTTTTGTCCCGTATTTACATATGAGCACGGGTGGCGAACATATTTTTCTTTTTTCGTTTTTTTTTTGAGATTGGTAGAGAGTTTTTTTTTCATTCGGAACTTGAGTCAAAGGTACAGAATATTTTAGCAAATAGTTTTTTATGGAAATCTGTCAAAACTACAGTAATCTAAAATTTTCGTTTGAATTCCCAGGTTTCCCAGATGAGCTTATTGTGAAAACTTTTATCGAAAATTCCAAAAATAGAATTTGATTATTGCCTGAAATCCTTCTAGTCTCCTAAGAAAAATTAAAACTTACATTTTTCCTTCTAGAATCTTTACAATAATTTTAATTATTTCAAAAGTCAACTTGTCTTTTTGATTTTTATAAAACCCGATCTATTTTGCAAGCTAACTAAATCAAATCCAAAATTCCAACGAACAAAAAAAAACACTTGAAAAAAGTGCGAAATCTATCACCCGTAACAAGTAATAATCCGAAACAATATAACAACTAGTTTTTATTCAATATTTATGAAAATAATAATAATAATATATCCATTTTTCAATATTTTCCGATCGAGCGAGAAACAGTAACCAAATAAAGTCTGTGTTCGTTTTTGGGTTTCATTTTGTTATTTTTTTTCTGCTCTTGTCAGGTAATCGGATAAATGCAATTATTCAGGGTTTATGCATGCCATATAGAACCAACATTTGTTTAAAATAATAATTTGTTATTATTTTTTTCAATGATTATTATTTATTTTTATTATGGATAGTCAGTCAGTCAGTCAATTTGTGTGTGTGTGGGGTGGTAGTGTCGGGAAATATAAAATATATAAAGAACTCGTTTTTTTTTTCATTCTCCTTTTCCGCTTTTTTCCCTTCTTCTTCCGCTGAGCATTAAAAAGTGTCAAGAAGGCAGAATAGATGAATAGAATATTGAGGTGAAATGCGAAATTCATAGAAAGTTGCATATATGCTACAACAATAAGGTCTTGCCTTTTATGTGCACAAACATTATTTTATGCTGACTTTTTGCCTCTTTTTTGGGTTGGTAGAAGATGGCGCAGCAAAATGTTTGTTGGTTGATCGAAGGCATACTGTAGTTTTGCACTTTACAATCAAACGGAACGATTTTGTTGGAAAACAAACATCATTAGTGAGAAATTTTTCACTGATATCTAACTGTACTGTTGTTTAATTGGATTCTGAACACACTTTCGTGTTTGAAGTATACTGTAGATTCATATTTTCTATCATCCCCTCTGAATATACTGATGTTCTCAACATCAAGGTTCCAAAATTCAGTCTAAACAAATAATTTCAAACATAGAAAGTGTTACTTGATTTTTGCAAGTTTCTAATTTCTATTTTTAAATTAGTTTATTTTTTGAATATAACCACCGCACAGTTTCCACGAACTTTCAATCAATTTTAGTCCTGCACCTCACACAACGTTTTTTGTAAACAAATATCATTAGTGGAATTTTTTGGAAAACTATATTTTATGTGATTCTTTTCTAATGATTGGTTTTTGAACTCAAAGTAGCATGGCACTTTAAAATTTATCTGAAATGTCAAATCATTAGCGAACGACTTTTCTCGAATACTGTACGTCTCTAAAAATTTATATGTTCATGAAAACTTCAAAATCAAACATTTTTCACTTTGGACGTTTTCAAAACATTGTTGAGCTCTGAATATTAGGCCTGTAGTTATTCTAAAATTTGAGTAAAGTTTCAAATTAGTGAAACTTCTTGTGTCTATATTCCAATTCTCTTTGCTTCAAAAATATCAAAACATTTTTCAATTTTTGAGTTTCTGATTCAAAAAACCACCCGTGTTTGAATATACACATGATGAGAAACATCAATTATAATAAAAATAATTCAAATTCCTAGACATTCCGCCAAAAAAACAGTCATCTTTGTCATACTCGTCATCTTGTGAACTCAAACAACTTCTCTTTTATGTTCTTTTTGTTTCCTCTTCATTCAAAAGATACCGTAATCTATCTTACTCATTGTTGCCAAATACATAAAATATCTCACTTTTGTGAGATTCTATTCACTCGTGTTTGCCCTTTGTTTCTTACCAAAAATTCTATAAAAAGAAACTTGGAGTATTTCTAGATAATGTGAATCTTTTTTTGAAATTTTTGTATGTATGTATTCAAGTCGATACGTTAGAAACATACAAATAAAAGACACACTATTCATTTCCGCCCGAAAAACCCTTGTCCAATTTTCTATACTCTCACAAAAAAATGGCCGAATATAATTTTAATGCATCAATTTTAATGCACTGGTCGAAAATGGAACATGCGCGCAAAAAAAAACTTGAGTAACTCCATTTTTTGGGTGTTGTTTGTGTTGTTTATGGGTTTTACATACATATATCTGAAGAAAATTCTTCGTTTCAATTTCTGGAAACTATCGTATACCACAAACAATATTCCTTCTTGTTCTCAAAAGAAAATTAATAATAACAAAGTTCCGCTATGATAATATAATTAAATTTGTTTCTTCTGTTTTATTACGCTTACATATTTTATTGTTTCAATTTTTCCACAGCAGCAAACATTCTATATATTTTCTAGTTTCTGTAACACGGATATTCAACATTTCAGTTTCATGCTTGATTTTCAATTTTCAAGTTTCAATTTTAAGTCAACCAAACTTCCGGTTTTGTCCGAAAAAAAGTGTTGCATTAATCAAAAAAAAAAGAAAATAGTTAGTTCCTTTCTATAAAAATAGTAAGCTCGAGTTTGGTGGATGAAAAAAAGAAGGCACAAAGACAATAAAACAAATTTTAATTAAATTAGGAACACACATACACACATGATTTTAATATTATTAGTGTTATTTTTTTATTCTACTGCTTCTGCTTCTCCGGTTTTTTTCCCTTCTTTTATTTCATTTCATATGGTTCTCTGTCTAGAAAAGTTTTGCTGATATAGATGTTACCTTGAGAGTTAGGACCCTCTATATTCCTCTCATCTTATTGCAATATCACCTCTCCAATATCATTTCAAATTCTTTCCAGGGAGGAAGACGAAGGTGCATCATCTGAAGTATTATCAACGGGAAGTGTCGACGAATCGATGGAGCAAAACACACTTGCGGGTAATGAATTATTGAGAAGAGTTGCCGAAGTTTTATCATCGGGTCAATTAAACGGAAATGGTTCTATAGCTAATTCATTTCTTCAACAACAAATAGTTGCGAGTAAAGGTTAGTCTGATTACTGTAGTCGTTTTCCGAAAAGTCACACATTTTTTATTCATTCATCCATCATCTGAATATTCATCTTCTTTTTCTTATAAATCAAACCAATATTTGAATCTTTTAATTACAGTACTTCTTATGTAAACATAGAGTAACTTCCAGATTTGTCATTTGACACATCAATTCTGACTAATAATGTGATGCCGACTGCACAAATGTCACCATTATTCACCGGAACCCAACAAGATATGTATCCATCACCGGAACGAATATTACAAGCAATGTTAACACCAAGTCTTGGTTTTGCATTGGGCAACAATTCGTTGGATTTTGCAAACGCTCAAACCAACGGGCTATTACAAACACCATTGATTTCGCCAAGTTCGAGTTTATTACAATCCTTGATGACAGCGCAAAATGCGACAAATCCACTTCCAAAGAAACCCGAAAATCGTCCACCAGTTGTGTCGCAAACTTTGAAAGCAACTAAAAGACGATTATTCACCGATGATGAACGAGCAAGAGCTGAGGCTGCTAATCTCAATAATGAGGAACGAATTGATATGAGTGATTTGGAAGCGTTTGCACAAACTTTCAAAAAACAACGTATAAAGTTTGGTAAGTCCAGGATTTTTGAAATAAAATCAATAAAAACAATTTCAAAAAAATTCCAGGATTCACTCAAGGTGATGTTGGTGTCGCACTTGGTAAAAGATATGGCACTGATTTCTCGCAAACCACTATTTCACGTTTCGAAGCTCTTAACTTGAGCTTCAAGAATATGTGCAAACTTCGTCCATTGTTGAAAGAATGGTTGGCTGATGTTGAAGCAGCTATTGAAGGCGGTGCTACCATCACAGATCTCATTGAGAGAAGAAGTTCTTCAGCTCTGCAACCGCCAACTGTTCATGATATTCATGTGGTAAGTTTTTCAGGGAGCTATTTATGAAACTCTATGAATAATAAATTTCAGTTCCAAGCAACATCGGAAGCTTCAAACTCACCAGTCCCAGTCATTCAAAACTTGTTGGTGAATCGTGATCAACATGTAAAACGACGAAGGAAACGAACAAACTTGGACCTTAACCAGGTATTTTGAATCCTTAAAATTTCCAAACTCCTAACCTAAATCCCCTTTTTTCTAGAGAGCCTCTCTGGATGCTTACTTCAATATGAATCCACGTCCTGATCATGATCGAATGACTGAAATCGCAAACGCTTTGGAACTTGATCGAGATGTTGTTCGAGTATGGTTTTGTAACCGGCGGCAAAAAATGCGACGTGTTGATGAGCCGGTTGAGGGCGAAGTCGCCACACCAAGTGTTAGCCCAATTTTTGCAAATGTAAGTTTAAAAAAAAGAAGTTATGGTTCTTGATTTAAAAAAATCAAATATTTTTCAGTTGACTACACTTGAACAATTCCAAGAGGTTGCGAAATTGGCACAAGCTCAACATAACATTGATGATAGTGAGTTCAAAGTCTTCCAGAAATCTTCCAATTTTATTATTTTCAGGCGATGAAACATCTGGAAGTCCTGATGCTCAATCAGTAAACCTCGACATTAAACTTGAGCCCCAATTTTCACAATTCACATAATAATTCGTTTCGTTTGTCCCCCAAAATATTCCTTTTGATTACCTCTTTAGAATATCCGGTTGGTTTTTACCAAACATTTTTTTGTTTTTTTTTTCATTTCTTGATCCCGGTTCAAAAATTCTTCATTTTCTTCGCTTTTTGCTCAGGTCTTTTACTTTTGCTTTTTCTCATTGTTGGTTTTTGAAAATAATTCAAGAATCATTAATAATACAATATTCGATATTCAGAAAACGGTTAGGTTTGTTTCTGCCATTTTTCGGTATTCTGTAGTCAACATTTTTCTAATTTCTAAATGTATTTTTGTTCTCAACATTTCTAAAGATTCGAAATATCCGACATCTTTCACTATTGTTTTTTTTTCACAATTATTTTCGCCCCAATCAGATCCGGTCATGTCTTTTTCCCTGTTTGAATCCATAATTTTCCTGGTGCGTAGATTTCTAGATCTTTCTTTCCATTTTTGCATTTTCATTGATAATATGTATTTTATTCAATTTTTTAGCCCTTTCATTTTTATAGGGTTCATTTTTTATCAGTGTTTTCTTGTAAATTCTGCCCATCCCGTGTAATTTTTTGCGTATTAAAATACAAAATCGATAAATCTTTGGATTTGCAATGTTTTTTTTTCTCCATGTATTGATAAAAAAAATTCCAGATATCCAGATTCAAAACGAATAGAGCAGAAAAATGTTTTATACAGAAAGTTGGACAGTCCCCCTCAAACATTTTTCCAAAAAAAAAAGTCGTCGCAGAGTTTCCTTTGTTTATATATTACAAACTTATACGATGTTTCAATAAATCACTCTTCGTTGCGCTTTTCTCACATTTTACGTTTTTCGGTTCCGAATAAGTTTTATTATTGGAGAGAAGAAAGAGAATGAAAAATTACCTCGAAAGTCTAGAAGAATACTTCGCAAGGAAGAAAATGCGCTCTAATGATAAACACACATTTTTTATTTTCCCTAATAGTTATGCACATCGTTTTTCACATAAATTGCGATGAAATACCAGAAATACGCCAAAATTTTATTATTTTTTCAAAATTCTTATGTATAATCTCGATAAAATTGCCCAGTTTTCCATATTTGTATAATTTTTCATTCAGATGTCTGGAGAGCATTGAAACTTGATCAATAAAAATGTTGACGGAATTATCGGCGTGACTTACAAGAATAACGAAGCGATCATCAAATTGCCTAGAGCAATTCTATAATTCAAGAGTGAGTAATGTTTTTTTTTTGTTAAAACGTGGGTTTTTTGACTTTCAGGCCTGATTTCGTATATGAAGAGAGTTGAAATATGATGTAGGATCTCTGCTTGAGAAAAGAATCTGCTCAAAGTCAAAAGTAGTGAGAAGAAGTCATAGAAGATTCAAAAAAAATTCAAACTCCATCGATCTGAAAATGTTGAGAATCGGTCAAAGAATGTTGAGCTTCCGATCGATCAGAAAATGTTGAGAGCCTCAAAATCAGACTAAAAAAAACTGTTCAAATCGGTGATGTTGTTATCGATCGGTCGAGTTTGGTTGTCAAACTCCCGGGAGGTGACAAAAATCTTCTGCAAGATGTCTGTGATGACAGTCAGACGTCGATTGATTGATGCTGGATTAGAGGAACGTCGAAATATTGAACTATGCGACTCAAATGGGCAGAAAAACACAAAAATTGGATGAGAGCAGAATAGAAAAATTGGCTTCGACGATGAAAAAAACACTCTTTTTGTGTTCTATGGCACCAAAGATTCAAGACGTCAAATGGATAGTCGACATGATCCGAAATACCAATTACCAACTGTTGAGCATGGTGATGGTGGTTCCGTTTGGGGAGCATTTTGCTTCAAAGGAACAACACATTATGCGACACAGAAATGAGAAGATCTTGAAATCAACTGCACTTTTTTGCTGTGAAGACGAGACAATTTGTCGGAATTATCTTTTTCAACAAGAGAACGACCCGAAACCTTGTAAAGAGAATGTTCAGGTTAGTTATTGATTCATTTTTGTTGTTAATTTTCATTTTCAGAAATGGTTCGCTCGTCGATTTTTGAATAGCTCAGCCAATCACCCCATCTCTATCCTATTGAACATATATGGAAAGTATTAGAGAGTTCAATCGGTTCAAAAACAATCAAGAAAAGTTCCATCTATTTCATCAATTCCACGACGATTTGTGCACATTTCAGTGAGAAAAACACTTTTAAAAAATTGAACAATTTTAATTGGCAGTTCTTGGAAAATGTTTTCTATTTGTAATATTATTGGCAAGGTTTTATGAAACCTTATCACGCATACATGTTATTTTTCTTTACTATTTCAGATTTTTACTTTTCATTTTTCAAGTGTGCCGTTTTGAATAAAGAAATTTGGCGAAATCGAGCGCTAACATCTACTTTTCTTCCATTTTTTTGTGTCTTACAACTATTTTTCAAAGTTATCTCAATTATTTTAGAAGTAAATTTGGCTTTGCTCTCAAAATAAACTTCTTGTTTAGTTTGTTTTATTATATTTTCAGAATACCATAATACTAATTCTAATTTACCTTTCTCAACAATTTATTGAAGGTGGAGTCCGAGCAAAAAAAGTTGTGCTCATTTGAAAGAGCATTTTCTAATTAGTACAATCCTCGAAGGATTTTTAATGAAAATCGGTAATGACAGAGCGGCGCCCAACTACTTGCATATTTGCATTTTTGCATTTTCCCAAGCCATTTTACACGGTGTTTCACTATTTTTTCGAACTTTGTAATTTTATAACCAATGTTTGAAGAGCTTCAAGAAAAAATCCTTCGAGGATTATACTAATTAGAATATGCTCTTTCAAATTAGCATAACTTATTTTTTGCTCGAACTCCACCTTTGATTTAAATTTAGAAATCATGAAATTCTTCAACCAGTTCCGATTTTTATGAGAAAGTATATTTTTTTCATAATCATACGACTCCAGTTTTGCGTGGTGCACGAAACTTTTTAGTAAAAAAAATCTCAACAATTTTAATTGGCAGTTCTTGGAAATGTTTTTTTCTTTATTTTTTGTGATATTATTTTCAAGGTTTTATGAAACCTTATCACGCATTTCATTTTATTTTTTTTTGAGTTTCAGAAGATTGTCAGGTGTAGTGTTATCAACAAAGAAAATTATTAGATATTATGAATCATTTTAACGCTTCGCACTTTATAGTTTTCAAAAATTTGTTTAACTCCCCTTTCCGTTTCATAACATGTGTGCGTCGCGGTCAATGAAATTGGCGGTTTGCCAATAACGCACTCTCGCTGTCTGTATTTTCCATAAATATTTTAGAAAACAATCAGATTTGTTTTTCCAAATACAATCGATCCCCACATTCAAATGTTTTCATTCTATCTAAAATGTGTCTCATTCCGCAATGTGTTGTTATAAATCTTTTTTTTTCTTTGTTCATATTTCTTCCAAACTTTGTTGATGCTCCAATAAATCAATCGTCGTTCCTAGCGACTCTACAGTAACCATCTGCATTTTAATTAGTATATTACACACCCAAAAAATGTCTATCACGATACTTATAAACATTTGGGAAAGGGGAAGGGAAAGTTGCACAGGGACATATTATTTTTTGTCTGTCTATTTTTACAAAAAACACATTTCTTCCCAATTATTTATTGTTTGCTATTTTATTGATCGCTATTATCGAATCTTTTATTTTTTCAATTTCTTATAATTTTTTGGCTGTTATAAATTAAAATTTAATAAAACCTTTAGGCTCTAGAAAACGGTATATTTTTCTGGGCTTTGTTCACAAAAAACTGTAAAACTCAACCTGATATTGTCTTGTTTTTGCTTGCTCATTCTAATGTAAGGTTCTTATTTTTCCAGAGCTTTAGACTTACATTTTGACAAAAATTATGAGTCATCCCCATAAAGTTGTTTTTCTTTATGCCTTCCTTATTTTCATTCAAAAAAATCTCTAGCATCTCTAATTCACCCCTGTTTTCTTGTTGTTTCACACCACCAAAAATGTGATCCAATAGCACACATGATTTGCACCTTGCACTATGTCGCCGCCTTCCTATCTACTGTACATACATCTGTCAGTCATTTTTAGGAAAAACAACTTTTTTTGTGCAACTGCTTCCTTTTTTCTCACGTCAATACACTTGTAATTTTTTGTTTTTTTGTTGGATATCGATACATTTTCAGATGGCCTCAAACATTCAACAACCAGAAAACAATCAAGTGGAAAATGTTGAGGAGGAAGAGGATTGTGGCATTTGCTGGATGCCATTTGAAGCCACTGGAACTTGTCATCCAACAACTTGTTCTCACAAATATCATAAGAACTGTTTGAAAAACTGGTTGATTGTGAGTTTTTTTTTGACTTCTTAAATTGTAATAACGATCCGATAGACAAATATTTCACAATACTTCATAAAAATTTCAGAATAATCAACGAACCTGCCCACAATGTCGTAGAATTGTGAAGAAAATCGATACCAATGGTGTTGTGACCCGCGTCAAAATGGGAATGAATAGAGGTAACACAGTGAGATGTGATTGCGGAATCGATTCAAACCAAGATCCCGCTCATTTCATCTGTTGTGACAGATGTAATCTCAGAGTTCACATGCCTTGTATTCCTTTGGCAACGGTTCCAGATGGTCAATGGATTTGTGAAATGTGTACTAGACTTGATGAAGAACTCGCCGAGGTAATCATTATTTGAAATTAAAATATATTTTTTAATGTATTTTTCATGATTTCAGATTTCGCAATGGTTTCACCCTGCACTGTTCCCGAGTTTTCTCAGTCAGTTTACTGATCCATCACGCTTCGCTCATTTAAACATTGCACCTGTGAGAAATCCAGTTGGTAAGTCACTATATTTTTTTTATTTTTTTTCACAAAATATTTTTTTAGCCAATTTGGAACAATTTATTAGGGGCCCAATCAATCGAAATGGTGTACACCCAGAGGTAAGAAAGTTTTGTAATTTCTCAAAAATCGAACATTTATGTTAGTAGTTATTTTTTAAAAACTCGCGTGAATTGACGGATTAGTTTTTTAAAATCGCAAATATTGTCATACTGTAGAAAAATGGGAGGAGTCACCTGTAGCCACTAAAAACACAGCGTCTCCCATTCAAAATTGAAAAATTGCGAAAGAGGAAACAGTTGATCCGACGCACAAATGCACAGTTTTTTTTCTAAAAGCATGACAATTAATCATAAGATTTTTGTGAATTTTTTTCTGTTAATTCAAACAAATGTTATTTTTTTCTCTGAAGAATCTGCGTTGAATACATATCGATAAAATAATTTTGCAGGAATTTAACCGCCTTCGTGATGAGGAAGATATCGATTAAATCGTTTTCTACTATGGTACACCCGATCTCCAATACCTACTTAACCAATGATTTTTTTTCACCTGACAAGTTAACTTTGAATGAAGTTTGATACTGTTGTTAACACATTTTTGAATTTGAAAACTTGCTTGTCCAGTTTGGTGAATACTTTTAAATATTTCGCATTTTGCTCAATTTTTTAAGGTTTGAAATCGACTATGTCGCTTCGCCGAAGGCAATTTTTAACATGCGGAATCTGTTTATGTACAATTCATCACAGCCGTTCAAAAACTCGCTCTCAACAATGTCGCCACTATTTTCATGTGAAATGCATCGAGCCGTGGATTTCGGTAAATGAAATACAAAACTTAAAATTGAAATAGAAAATAAACATTCAGGATATTACGGAAAGTAGAACAAAACCAACATGCCCACTTTGTCGTGCTGATTGGGAGATTATGGAAGTAGTTCAGTGGAACAAAAAAGGATGTGGCAAATTCGTAACATCATTCTATCCTGCTCACGATGCAGTCACTGACACCAAAAGTAAACGTGAAAAATCGATCTGTCGAGTCTGTCATGTGAACAGCTTCAATGATTATTTGGTTGTTTGCAGTCGATGCGGTAAAGGTTGTCACACCTACTGTTTTAATGATCGCAAAGAAACGATCCCTCCACCCACTTGGAAATGCGACAGATGCGAAAGAAAAATTGCAAGAGTAAGATTTTTAAGACTATTTTAAAATAAAGTTTGTATCTGGAAACCGCCAAAAACTCTGATGTTAAATAATTTTCTGATTCCACAAATAACATAAATCAATTTCAGCGCAGAAGACGTGTTGCAAAAACCAACGAGATATATGCACAAGTGAGTGAGGGCATTTTTGTTAGATAAAAATCATTTTAAATTATTCAGAGACCCTCGGTTGTTCTTGATACAATAACTTTGGAAGATGATTTCGTGGTTGAAAATGTTGATGTCAAACCCGATATCGAATTGTTGGAGCAGAATGAGGTTATTATTTATGAAATTGTGAATACTTTGTGGAGAATTTGAATTTTCAGAACGAGAATCCTCAATAGATCTATCAAAATATGCTCTTGGTATCCTGTTGCTCTTCATCGATTTGCTTATTTGAAGATGCTCAAATTCAATTTCAAACTCGTCTAGTTTCCCTTGTAGTGCCGTCATAAAATTCATTTTTCTCACAACCATAAACGTTGTATTTCATATTTTCTCACGTCATGATTCCTTTTTCTAATTACACCTGTTTAACCCTTGATTGTATGTAAAACCAAGATGTATTCTTTTCCAATGATCTAACCATATTTTTTCAAAAAACCTGTGCAAAATAATTTTTTCTGTGAAATTCCTTGATAACAAATGAATTTATTCCATATTTTTCACAGAAGCCTTGCAGATTTTCACAAATTCGTTAACCAAGAAAAGATTTTCAGGTCACAGTCATTTTTTTTGAAAAATATTTACAATCGGCTGAAAACGAAAATTTTTTACCACCATACAAACACCAAAAATTGTAGGAAATTGTGCGAAAAATGAAAAGTTTGGGGCTCCAAAATCGAGCTCACAGGAGGTTATGGGAATTTTTGACTTCGGGGTCGTTTTTAGAATGGTCGAATTACTATATTTCACTATGTTTCATCAAAAGTAAATTTCAGAACTTAAAACACTTCCCTTGTTAGTTTTATATTCATTTTGATGAGCACGAAAATAATCACCTCCCGAACAACAACCTGGCAAAACATCTGAATAAAAATTGTACGTTTCAAGGCCCACAGACCTAATATGAAAAAAATAACCTATTCTCTTCAAATGTCTCCATTTTCCCGCACTGCTATTGGTCCCACAGGGAAAGTAGTATGTTCGCTCTATTGCAAACAAGAAGTAGGCAACTACTTGGTAGTATTTTGAATTAATTGGGCCCAATGGGTGTTTTTTTTTTTATTTTTCTTCTCATTTTTCACCTGTAATATGAAAATTTATGCAAATTTTTGGAACTTGTAGATTTTTCAACGAAGATTCTTGATTTTAGGGTGTAAATTTCAGAAAATTTTTGCTAAATAGAAAATTCTTGGAATCAAATTAATTTTTGGGAAAAAGCACAGAAAGTTGTGAACTTTACTTGCCGATTTATATCTTATGTAAACTGGGGTTACTATGTATTTATCAGATTTGTCACCAACTGAAATATATAAGTCTATAATTTTCGCTAATTGTACGTTTGTTTCATTTTTAAATTTGGTGCATTTTATATTTATTCATTTTATTATACCTGCTTATCTCGTTCCCATGGCAATATTTTTTTCCAAAAAATTGTAGACCATTTGTTTTTTTTTCAAAAATGTTTTTACGTCAGATATAGTGTTACAAAACGATGATTTAATTTATAAACAATCATAATAGAAGGGTCAAAAGTAATTGATATCTTCACCAGAACTTGTTTTCCTTCCTCTTCTGTGTTTTTGTATATTTCTCGTTGACAACATTTTCTGCTCAAATTGTCTCCTTTCCCCATTAATAATTATTTTTATATGAAATAGCAGCCATTTTTTTCTTAACTATTACAACGATGTCTTATTTTCTTTCCAAAAATATTGATTTGCAAACCATTTCGCTCTTTTTCTTCGTTCATTTAATTTTTTGATAAGAATTCTAGAAACCTGAAAGTTGAAAATTCTGTCTCTCACGCTTTTAAAATTCTTATATCTACAGAGCTAGGTTTTGCGCTTCACACTCTATGTTTCAACTTCCAATCGAGATTTTTTATGAAATTTTTGTTTTCTAGTATGTAGTTTTTGAGCCGCTGATCAGAGTTTTGCTATCTAAAACTGAAAAGCTCAACTCCTAACATGAGTTATTCCGTGGAAAAGTTCAACCATTTAAAAAATTGCGACTTTCAAAATGATTTTTATGAAAATCTGATTTCATAACGTTGTTCAGGAGGCTCGACTACATAAGCCAAGAAACTTTTTGAAATCCGGAAGATTTATCGAACAAGTTCCTCCTGAACAACGCTTTGCCATCAGATTTTTATTAAAACCATCATAACTCATGTTAGAAGTTGAGATTTGCAGTTCTACAATAACGTCGAAAAATTCAGTTGATCTGAAGTTCAGCCCTGTTTTTAGTTCGAACTATTATTTTCAAATTCACTGCCAAATTGGCAGTGCCAATAGCAAAACCCGTGTTGCGCAAATGTTCTTGCGCAATGAGAAAATTTCAAAATTCGCTCAAGGTTATGTGAACCAACCGTTTACATTTTCATATCACAAGGTCTCAAATAAAAACCTCACACATTGTCATACTGTAAAAAAAATGGGCGGAGTTACCTGCAACCAGTCAGAACACAGTAATTGTTGCGTCTCCTTTTTTTCTCATTTGACACTTGAATTAGCCAAACATAGGAAGGAAAAGACTACAAAAATTTGGGGAGAAATGTATAAATCTACATTTTTTGAATCAAAGTTTCTGATGTTTCTGATGAATTGTATACCACTCGGGAAAAATACGGCGCCTTTTTAGCACCGAGGCGACAAAGATTGTCGAGGAGTTTTGGCCGCCTCGGTGCTAAAAAGGTGCCGAAATTACGGCACCTTTTAGCGCCGAGGCGACATTTTCATGAAAAATCCATCATTTTACCATACAAATGACTCTTGTTCTCTTTTCATCGAAATTTTCCGCACTAAAAATGTAGCAAGCGTGTCCGAGTGGATAAGAGTATGGGTTGTCATTGTTTTGACCCAAGTTCGACGCCCCTTTCCCGCACCTTTTTTTATTTTTGTCGTCTCACTGGCGCTCCATTTTAGCGCCGGTGCGTTCTCTCTGCGCACCTTTTTAGCGCCGAGGCGAGAGCACTTCCCGCCTCGGCGCCCCAGAATGTCGCCTTAGCGCCCCAGCATGTCGCCTTGGTGCCGTATTTTTCCCGAGCATTTTTCAAATGTGGTTTATTAAAAGTGCGAATATTTGTACTTTTGTAAAAAAAAGAAACGAAAAATGTGTTCGTTCGAACTCCACCTGCACATCCCAGCTGCGATTTCAAAAGCAATATATGTATTTTTATTTGAATTTTTCCTTTAGCGGATTCAAAAACTATTTTTTATTCATTCGAAAACCAGAAATTTTCGGAGAATTCTCGCATTGTTGAATCTTGAATTGCTATAATCGGCTATCGACTCTGATCTTTCAGAGTTTTGAAAAAATTGTTTTCGATAATGTGTTACGTCATCTTATAATTATTTAAAAAAAAGTTCAAAAATATATACCGCCAGATAGTTGTTTCTTCATATTTTCTCATCTGACAATTAATTTTGTAAATCTCCAGATCTAGATTTCCTAATTAACTTTATTTTCCGATTTTGGGTTAATCCTCTTATTTATTGTTTCACCCAAATTGAAATTTATTGAAAACAACAAAGAAACAAAGAAAAAGGTCCTCTCAAAAAAGACAACCTCTTTGTTTTTTGCAAAATTTCAATTTCGTTCGTCTGGAATAAATTTTCTCAGGAAATTATCCATCTCTCCGCTTCTTTTTCTTCTTGTTAAATTGACATGTGTAAATAGGGGAAAACCTTATATTTTGCTGAAAAAACGACATAGTATTGATTTGCTGCATGTAACGAAAAACAACATGCACTTTTGCATTTTTCTAGCTCTCTGCGCCTCGGTAAACACTTCATTATTTTTCTCTCTGAAAATCTTTTCAGCTAGAGGGGGGATGGTGTTTGTGAACTTTTTTTCAGTGCAATTTGGTTGCTATGGCCGTTTCCGTTTCTTGATAGTTTTTTTCTGTGCAACTTTACTTTTCTTCGAACTCCGCCTTCTTATTTCATTATATTTTCTCTTTTTCACTTCAGATTTTATTGGTTTTCCGAACGGATTTCTCACAGAATTTTAATTTTAATTTACACTTTCAAAATCTGCGCTTCATGAAATAGGGTGTTCGCCATTTTTGGCGGCGTCATTCAATTTTGTCGCCCACTCCATACCCAAAATTTATTGCTTTTTTCCATTTGTTTTTTTTTCAAAATCCATTTTCCTTCTACTCATCCCATTTATTGAATTTCTCAAAATTTGACATCATTTTTTAAACTCTCTAAACATTCTGAAATTTTTTTCAAATTTTTCAATTTAAAGGCAGAAACTCTTCTAATTTGAACGTTTCATTCAGAAAAAAACCTGGAGAAGAGAGAGAGAGAGAGAAAGAGTATTAGAGAAACAGAGAGAACTTGCTCCGCCCCCAGCTTCTTCTTTTTAGAACCCTCTCATTTTGAGATTAATTTTGTGGACTTGAGCAGAATAGCAAATCTTCTGTATGCTTTTTCTTTTGAAACACCTGCGGTGATTTTTTATTTTATATGGAATATGTGTTTTAATAATGAATTAACCTTGAATTAATTATTGGATTCTATTTTTGTAGATTTTTCTAATCCCCCACTTTATTATTTTCTTGTTTCATTATTTTTTCTGAAGTTGAGAAATTTTTTTTTATATTTTTTGAATTGTTTGTATATTTTTTTTTAAATTTTTTGTATTGTTTGTATATTTTTTTGTCTTGTTTCTACTGAAAAAATTTCTTTTCAATGCCCATTCAAATTTTTAATGTCGATTTATAATTCTGAATATTTTAATTCACCAAAAGCGGCGATTCTTTCTGACTCATCGGAGTCATCGGCTTCCTTTTTTGTACTTTTTTTCAAAATTGTATTTTGTATAGCTACAAAATCGAGTCTAGACTTTTCCTTTTCTAGAAAAATCTCATTAAGGATTATTAAATACAAAAAAATCGGGAAAATTTTCGGTTGCGGCGCGTCAAATTTCTTGTAACTCCCTAGGCGCCTTCACCAATTATTTTTGATAATCAGCTGCTCACAAACCCTACATATGTATTTTCAGTTATTTGGAAAACAGGCCAGAAAACTTATTAAGGCTGATTCACGAACGAAAAAAATGTTTTTACTTTTTGGACTAGGGGCTGTTAGCCCCCAGGCGTAACAGTCTTCTTATTATTTCAGTTCCGTTTTTTTCTGTGATTATTTTCAATTTTCTGTGGAAAACAAATTCATGAAAAATTTCAAGTTTTTTGATCAAAAAATGACTCGTGGCAAAATCAGGAAGGCTTCCTAATTTTGCCATGGATGACGTCATCAAACAATTTTAAAAATAACTCATTGAATCTCTTTTTTTATTTGCATAATTATAGACATGACCGTCTCCAAACAGAAATTTCGGTTTGGAGACATGACTTTTTCTCAATAATTTCATTTCTTGATGAAATTCTGAATTTTCTTGTTTTTTAACAGTGTTAAAAATTTTCTTTCAATTTTTTTAGCCTCAAAGTTGCTTCTGGGTGGCTTACTAAGCCTAAGCCTGAGAGGAAGTGTCATTTAGGTCCCAACTCATCGACATCATTTTTACATTTTTGGATTATTCCAAATCTGTTTTTTTTTGTTGACTGTATACACGAAAATAAAAATTTCAATTTTTGTCAGCTACCCGCTCAAATCGAAATTTTCATTTGGGCGGGTACTTTTGTCAAAGAAAAAAAAATCGGCCCGAGTTTTTTCAAAAAAAAAATCGGCCTGAGTTTTTTTTGTTGGGTGAAAAAAATCGGCCCGAGTTTTTTCAAAAAAAAAAATCGGCCCGAGTTTTTTCAAAAAAAAAATCGGCCCGAGTTTTTTCAAAAAAAAAATCGGCCCGAGTTTTTTCAAAAAAAAAATCGGCCTGAGTTTTTTTTGTTGGGTGAAAAAAATCGGCCCGAGTTTTTTCAAAAAAAAAAAACGGCCCGATTTTTTTGTCAAAGAAAAAAAACTCGGGCCGATTTTTTTGTTGAAAAAACTCGGGCCGATTTTTTTGTTGGGTGAAAAAAATCGGCCCGAGTTTTTTTGTTGGGTAAAAAAAATCGGCCCGAGTTTTTTTGTCGGGTGAAAAAAATCGGGCCGATTTTTTTTGTTAGATTTTGATCGAAAAATGGCTCCTGGCTAAATCAGGAATGGTTCCTAATTTTGCCAAGGATGACCTCATCGATCAATTTTTCAAAAGAAAAACTTATTTAATTATTTTTTTGAATTAAGTGTACTCGTAAGAGGTAAATCACACGAATTACAATCAAATTTATAGAAAATTTCAAATTTTTTGATCAAAAAATGATATTGGCAAAATCAGGAAGGCTTCCTAATTTTGCCATGGATGAAGTCATCGATAAATTTTTCAAAAAAAAAATTTATTTTATTATTTTGTTGTATTAAATGTACTCGAAAAAGGTTAATCACACGAATTACAATCAAATTCATGAAAAATTCATTCGATAGTGGCTGTTAGCCCCCATGTTTTTTCGACATTTTTTGACTTTTCATGAAGTTTTTTCAATGTTAAAATACATTTTTAAACTTTTTTTCGTTCGTGAATCGTTAAATGAAAATAATTTCAAATAATCAAATATAATGAACTCAAAGCTCAAAGAATTGGAGAAATAATTGTTCCCATTGAAATGAACAATTATTTTTTGTGTAGATGCTAATTGCTCATTTATAAATGTATCTAACTTATTTAATGAGCAAAATATTCAAATTTCTTTTTTTTTCAGGTTTTCAAAAAAATGATAGATCCTAAAGAAGTTGAAGAACCACTAGAAGACTGTGTTATTTGCGCAGCTCCGCTTGAAGTAAAATATGGAATTTCAAATCCAGCTGGATGTTCTCACAAATTCCACAAAAACTGCTTGAAAGTCTGGCATAGAGTAAGTTTTCTACTATCAAAATCTGCTGATAGAGGTTATTTTCAAAAAAATATATATTTCAGCACAAAAATACATGCCCAGTTTGTCGAGTTCCATTCAATGTGATTCAAACAAATGGTGTTGCTAACAAATTGCTCGGCAATTTCTATACTGCATCTGACGCATGCGGTACTTGTTGGGTATCATCATGTCGTGATCCTAAACATTTTATCAGCTGTGACACTTGTTTTTCTGGATTTCATATGAGCTGCCTCACACCGAAACTCAACGTTGTTCCTGATGGTAAATGGCATTGTTCGCTGTGCAAAGACATGAGAAGAGTACGGGTGAGTTTTCTTTGGAAATCTAGAATTTCCTGGGGTTTATCGTAGTCAAACTTTATTCCAAAATAAAATTTTTAGAACCGCCGCGCTGAAACAAACAGATTCACATTTCCATACGGTGCTGGACCAAGTAATGATCTGTCTCGGGTTCCATTAGACTCATTGATGAGATTGAGAAATCCAAGTGCAGTTCTCTATAGTGCCTCGACAACTTTGAATCGAGCAGACATCGAGTATGAAATCGAATGGAGAAGAGTCGAATACGAAATGTTGCGCATCAATGGGACTGTTGGTGATTCAGTGAGTAGAAACAATTCTAGAGAGGAAAGTCAGACGCCGATTGTTTCGGAAGGTCCAAGAAACAACCGACAACCCGCCTATCCTTTGGCTTGCTTGGTTCGTTTTCTTTGAAAAAAATCTGATCTTTCGAAGGAAACAACAAAAATTGTGATTGTATAAATTGTTTACAGAACTCTCTTCGCAGTAGACGCAACGGCGAGAATCCGACATGAACGTTACTTCATTATTGATTTTTTTTCGTTTTTTTCATCAATCACTTACAAGTTTATGGTTTTTAAAATTAAAATTTTTAATATTTGAAATTTTTTTCTATATAAAGCAAACCGTGTTGATTTTTTGTTCAAATGACACAACTGATGAACGCTATTCATGTTGAAATATCTTTAAATATTTTTTTTGCAAATGTGAAAAATCAAATAATTGTTTATTTTTATAGAGCTAGCTGTATCGTGACCATGGAATCACTCGATAATGTGGTTTGCAAAGTCTGCAATGCGTCCTCACCTTCGGAGTCCATGAGAAAGTGTACTGTTTGCCTCAAATCATGGCATGTATCATGTGGTCAGCAAAGAGTCTTCACAACTGCAAGCGGTTATATGCTTTGCGACCCATGCGCCTTGAAAGGTGACAAAGAACGAGTTAGTTTCTTTTATCGATTTGAAAATTGGAAGTCTTAAATTATTTATTCGAATAATGGAAGATTTTTGATGAAAAAAAATATGATCGAGAAAATATAACCAATTTTTTATAATAAAACAACATTTCACCTACCTGTTTCAAACTACATTTTGCAGAGAGAAAGAAAACGAGCGGAATTGGCAAGAAAGAAGGTTTGTGAATATATATACATTTTCAATACACGAAACTCATTGATTCATTTCAGGCCAACGCTGCAAAAAAGGCGAATGGACAGGTTCAAAAGAAAACTTGTACTGGTCTTGAAAAGGTATGCTGCAATTGAACAAAAAATTTTGAAAAATTAAGATATTATTAAAACTTTCTTCAGAAGCCATCGACCAGAAAATCAAAGAACCAATAATCAATCGTGTCCTCTGCGACTTCTTCTCGACTCTTACTCGCCGCTTCTCTTTATTTTCATAATTCAAAATGTCTTGCATCCAGTTTTAATTAGCATTATTTGATAGCTAGGCTTATTTCACTTCAATATTGTAGTTTGACTTATTTATTGCAGGTACGGTAGCTCTCATTATGCTCTTAAAATTTTTGCAACACACATATTTAATTAATCCCCTTTTTTTCTTCGAGTTGTCGGTTAAACTTATTATTCACAAAAAGCACCTGTGGATTTTTTATCTGATTAATTCAACTGATTAATTATAATCATATTGAAATATCTTTTTTGAATGTTTCATTTTTCTAATTATTCTTACAGGGTTTTTTTCTTCTCAGGCTTTGAAAGCAAAAGAAATTTTCTGTAAATGGAGTCATCACGCAAATGCAAAAAACCTCGCAAGAAGGTTCGAAAGATTCAACGAACATTGACGTGCAAAGTGTGCAATTTCAACTCGGTTCCATCGTGCATGAGGAAATGCCCAATATGTCTAGAAGCGTGGCATATTTCATGTGCTCCGACAAAAACTATCAGTTGTTTATTGGTTTGTAATGATTGTGGAACACTACACGATAATGTAAGTTTAAAAATTTTCAATTTACTTTCAAAATGAAAATATTATTTTCAGCAAATGAAACAAATCCAACGACCGCGTTTGAATGCCATTCAACAAGTAAGTTCACTTTTATTCCATTTTTATTTTCAAAAAATGATCTATTTTTTTCAGGAAAATCGAATCAGGCCTAACAAACTCGCTCCTCAAAATGTCCCAGATGTTCGCTTCACTCGTTCAAGATCTCGTCAAATGGTTGTTCTTCAACAAAAACAGGTACTTTTCAGAACGCATAATATTCCCGATGCAAAAACTGAAACTCAACATTTGGAAGTTGCGATCAATTTCACATCAGAAGATTCGAAATTCCAAAAAATCCCTCAAGTTCCCTTAATATGTTTTTTCAGAAACCATTGGCCAGAAAACGAAGAACCAGAAAGCGTTCTTAATTTCCGTGTTTTCTACCGCATCTCATTTCTCACAATCAAATAACTTTCTGCATTTGTACACAGTATTTTATACATCTATTTTAATTTTAATAAGTCTGGTTTTCAAACGAGTTGCATGTTCCTATCAAAAAAAAAATTGTGCAATAATTGAATCTCAACATTTCAAATGATCTCTCTAGATATTTTTTTTAAACAATCCCAAACAATCTTTCTTGTGTGTTTTTTGAGTTGTCGGTTTAGAATTAATTGTGTAAAGATCTTTTTTTTGTAGAAAAAACAAGTTTTTCAGTTTTTTGTCAAGCAACTGATATTACTAATCATGTTGAAATACCTTTGATTTTTGTTTAACTGACCCAAGATCAGATAATAATAATAATAATTTTTATAGTAAGCTGGAATCATGCCAAATTCTCAAGAAGAATTCCCATTTTTCCCATGTGCAATTTGCCGTGAGCATATGGATCACAAAGAAAACAATATAGTCAAACCGCTTCTATGCTCCCACCACTTTCATAAAACCTGCATTCTTGAAATGTGCGAGGTAACGTGTTTCGAAATTGTTTCCTTACATTCATGTAGCATCAACTTGCAGCAAAACACTCAACACACAAATTGCCCAATTTGCCGAAAGCCAATGTACAAGTTCATCTTGTTGGCCAAAGACGGTGATGGAAATCCAAACTTCAAGTTTTACAACAAAACAGGACGCGAGTGCAAGAGCGCTTACGAGCTGAAATGGAGCGCGTGTAACATTTGTTTCACTACAGCGTTCAGCGACAACATGAAGAAATGCTCAAAATGCGTCCACTACTGGCATGCATTCTGTGGTTCAAGCGAGGATTATAAAAATGAGAATGGAGGGATTCTTTGTCATCGATGTGCGAAGCAACACGCTGAAGCGACTTTGAGGGTAAATAAGTTTAGGCTCGAAATTTATCCTGGGTAATCTATTATTTTTTTAAATCTATTAATTTTAATAGTTTATATCTTCTAGGTATACTTTTTGCTCAAATTTTTTATCAAGAAGTTCCTACACATGTTCTAACAATTTTTTTCAGAATAGACAAGAATCGATAAAAAGTTGTTTGGAGTATTCGCGAGAAGTATGTTTGAAATCAAGATAACTCACATTCAGATTCAAGATACAATATTTATTTTCAGATGCAAGCTCGTAGAGCAGCAATAAGAGAGGCGAGAAAACACCAGACTAATCATCATTCGTTTGTAACACGCTCCAAAGCTGCTTCGGGTGGACAACAACAGGTATATTACAATTCTGAAGCAGGGTTTTGAACTTCACAATTCTTGTTTTCAGGCAACTCGAAGAACTCGCAACCAAAACAATCAAAATGTTGCGGGAACCCGTTCAGGAAAACGTCAAGTTGCTGCGCCTCAAGTATGTTTTCAATTTTTGTCTTAAAACTTTCGGATAGATCAAAAATATTTTATCTGAACCTCGCTTTTAATTTTCCAATTTCAGGCAAACCAGCCAAGTGATGTTGGAACTAGTTCAAGAACACGCCAAGCTTCAGCGTCTCAACAAAATCAAGTAAGTTTCAACTCATTTCAACTTTTTTTGCATCGAGATTTTCAAATCACACGTATTTTTCAGACAACTAAAAGAACAACTCGCCAAACCAAAGTCGAAAAAAGTCGCCAATATGCCGCGCCACAACAAAAACAAGTATGTTTCTACATCATAATTAAAGCTACAATTTATTTTTTCCAGCAACCATCGACAAAAAGATCGAGAAAACAATGAGTATTTTTCATTTTTCGACAAAGATAACCCGATTTGATCTTTTTTTTCTCGGTTTTCATTTTTTTTATCCCATGTGAAATTGTTATTTTATTTGTCTTGCTTCTTATTGCTTCTTGAATTTTTATCTTATCCGAACAATTTTTCTTAATCTTTTCAAAAATCCATCAAAATATTTTTTCGACCAGATCATTGATGATCATCATTTCTTTGAGTTGTCGATTTTAATAAAATATTTTGGACAAAATTTGTTTCCAATTTTCTCCCAATTGATGAATTTCATTCATAGTGAAATATTTTTATTTATTTTAACACATTCGAACTTCAAAAGGAAATAATACTGATTTAGAAGTTGGCTGAAACCATGGATAATCATAATCAATATCCCCACCACCCGTGCCCAGTTTGTGAGAAGCATTTGGATCACAGAAGCAACGAAATTGTCAAACCATTGTTGTGTATGCATCATTTCCATAAGAAATGCATTTTGAAAAAATGCAAGGTATTTTTTCTTTTTTATATTTTATCCAGAATTTTATTTTTTTTTTCAGGAAAGCGGAAGAGCGAGACAAATTGCTCGTTGTCCAGTTTGCAACCGTGCTTTATATAAATTCATTGTGCTTGCAAAAAATGAAAATGGTGAGAAGAATTTCAAGTTTGTGAATACCAACGGAAGAAACGTCCAGAGTCGTTATCAAATGAAAGAAAATGTTTGCAAGTATTGTTTTATTGGAAATCTTTTCGACAATCAACTTTGTTGTTCAAAATGTGATGCGATATGGCACAAATTCTGTGGCCCGGAAACCACAGCCACTACTGAAACTGGAGAATTGTTGTGCAACGAATGTGACAGTTCAACTAATGTGAGTTGGATAAGATACAAAAAATATCATTTCAAATCAATGACAAAATATCTTTACTGGTATCAATGACATATTTTTAGCAATCTGTAATGTTATTCTTTGAAACCATTTCAAAATTTCGATAAATTCCTTTCAGACAATCTTTTTTTAATTCAGCAAAAAATTAGACTACGAGTTTATTTTGAATAGCACTTTGTAATCTAAATTTGAATACGATAATCAAAAAAAAAAACACCTGCATTGATCACTTTTTTTTAACAAAATATTTTCTAGGAGCAAGAGCCTGAAGAAGTTGCTGGACCATCAAATTCACAAAAGCAAGAAACTCCATCAAGCTCGCAAAAGAAAAAGGCATGTTTAGAAACATACATTTCATAATATCCAAATATAACTTTACAGGCTACTCCAAAAAATGTTGCCAGAAAAAACAGACGTGGTGGTGGTGAGACTCGCTCGAAGAGCCAGCCAGAGGTTTTGCCTGAACAAGAAGAGGTAATTTTTTGTTTAGATTGAAAAAAATGTTTAAAAAAAATTATGAAACCTTGCTTTTCAAGCTATTCAATATCAGAGTTCTTCAGTAATAAATTAAAAATTGACATCTTCCTTCTGAAACGATCATAAATTTTTCAGCCAGCCCCAAAGAAATTTTTTTCAGGAACCCGTGGCAAAAAGAACAAGAAAACATTAGCTTTCGTAAATTTCACATTGCGATTGGATTTTCTCTGTTTTTTTATTGTTAACATGTTGATATTTTATTTGATAATCATAATGTTTTTTTTTAATTTCATTTTTTTATTGGTATTTTTTGTTCTTCTGGTACTTATTGACAAGTTTACAAGTTTCCTGCTCAAAACAATATTGAAATTGAGTTCATTTCTCTTTTTGCAAATTAGTTTACTTTTCAGTTTTGTTTCCTGTTCGAATAAACATCTTTAATTATTTTTTGTTTTCATAATTTGATTTTCATTCTTACCAATATCGAAATAAAATGTATATAAAACACAATCAAAAATAGTTTGTCGAAGTGACATTCTTCTCACATAAAAATCAATCAATAACACACATCATGTCAAAGAGCAATCGGTGAGAGTGATGGAGACGCAGAGAAATTCTCCAGTTTAAAAAGAGACTGACTGCCACGTAGTTCACGTTTTCATTAAAAATTATAATCATCTTTTTTTCAATGCAAAAAATTAGATTTTCACGTGTAAATGTCTGCGTCTCGCTCACTCTCGCCGATTGCCAATTTTCATTGAGCTGACATGTTGTGAACACATCAACTTCCCAAAAATTTCTCACATAACGATTTCTGGCGTGCAGCAGTATTGTATGGATGCTCACTTTTTTACACATTGTTCTTCACACACTTATCTTATTGCTTTTTCAAGATGTGCTAAATTCTCCCAATTTTAAAAATACTGTTTTTTCTGTCTGAAACACATCATTTGTTTGTAATTTTTTGTTTTTCAGCTATGGCGACCATGTGGCAAATTAGATATCCAGAATTGATTTGTGTGATCTGTCAGGATGACATCAAACCACGAAAAAATACGGCTTGTAGACCATTATCCTGCAAACATTTTTATCATAAAACGTGTCTTCTGGATTGGTTCAGAGTAAGTTTTAATGCACAAAATTATTTTGAATTGAAAAAAAAACATTTTTCCAGCATCAAACGGAAAATTCGATAGAAACATTGTGCCCGTACTGCCGGCGGCCCACATCTGTAGTTATTGCTTTGGAGAACAATAACAATGGGAAAAAATCTACGAAATTTTACAACTCAACCGGCAGTATTCATAATAATCGATATATACTTGGGAAATACACATGTAAAACTTGCCTGATCGAATGTTTCAACGAAGAACTGACAGTTTGTCGCCAATGTCTTGATCCAACGCACACTTTCTGCTTTTATCAAAATTCGAGTAGACCAGTTTGCAATTCATGTGCTCCCAGTCCTATAGTTAGTTTGAAGTTAATTTCTGAAAAAAAAACATATTTTCAGCCGAACAACGTTGGTGCAGAACCAGCTCAAGTGGTTACGAATTCACATCAAGCGAGTAGACCAAGTGGCACTGCACCAGCACAGGAGATAGAACAAAACGGTTCTTGGAATCTAGAAACTTTTGTTATCTTATTTATTTTTGGCTATTGCTTCCATATAGCGTTAGAGGAAAATCGGTAATTATTATAATCACTAAAAGTATTATGCAAAAACTAACAATAAATTTTATTTTCAAAATTAAAATATAAAAAATTTTGAGCTCATTAATGAATCACCCTGTCCATACGCTTTTTACCATTAGTAATATTTTCCACATTAAAAAAATATTTTCATTGATCTTTTTGAAATTCATCATTCCGTTTTAAAAAAATCACTGAATATAAGAAATATTGCGAAATCGAAAAAATTTTCTTCATCTGTTTGAATGAGCGCGTTGAGATATTTATGTATATTCTCTGTTAGTTATGCCTCTCTTTCTAGTTTTTCTTACAATTTTTCAGCAAACGGGTAATTGAAACAGATTTATTTTTTCTTATTTATGTTTGTTAATTTTTTTCTTTAAAAAAACATAATTTTGCCATAAATCGTTAATTCTCATCAATCTCATAATTTTTTTTGATTTACTTGAAATTGTTTCTTTATTGTCTTCAAATTATACTAATTTTTGAGACAACTTTTCTTTGGTCAAAAATTTGCAAAACTGAAAGATTTTCCAGGTATACAAATCCATCTTTTTGAGCTAAAATTCTTTTTATTATCAATGCTGCCTACTATTTCTATCTGACATAGTGTACAAGAATAAAAAATAACCTTTTTGTTCCCTTCTTGGATTTGCTGTAATCAATAATCAGTTTGTGGGAAGACAAAAAAGACACCCGCAACTTTTTGTATGTCTGTCTGCGTTCTCTCACACTTTTCTTTCCTCCGCAACAACGGTTTGTTCGCTCGCAGCCATTGCGTCTCTACTGCACTTCTAGCCGCTACTTGCGGGTTTTTTCCCGAGATTTTGTACTTTCATGCCTACATTTTCTTCAATCGGCATACACTCTCGTTACTTTTTAAAATTTGAATTATTTTCTTGCGTGGGATGATTTTTTGACCATCTTTCACTATGCGTTTTCACATTTTCGATGTTATTCTCTCAAGCTTCTTTTTCTTCAAAACATTACGATTTCTGGAACTTTTTTCTGTGATACATCTTTCAAAATTTTTTGTGTGTTTTCAGATATGGCATATGTATGGCCAATACAATATCCAGCATTGGAGTGTGTTATTTGTCATGAGGATATAGAGCCAAAACAAAATAGTGCTTGTAGACCATTATTCTGCAAGCATTTTTATCACAAAGAATGCTTGCTGAAATGGTTTGCGGTAAGTGAAGCAAAATATTTTATTTTTGAAAATTTTATAAATGAATATTTTCAGATAGAAGCGAAAAATAAGCAATTGACGCATTGTCCGTATTGCCGTCGTGTTTCATACAAAATAGTATCATTGGAGAATAATGCGGATGGGAAAAAAGTGATGCAGTTCTACAAACCATCAGGTAGCGCCTGCAAAAGTCAATTTCAAATTGAAGAAGACACATGTGCAACTTGTTTGATTGGAACTTTCGATGAAGATCTAACTGTTTGTCGTCAATGTCTTCGCCCAACGCACACTTTTTGTTTGGCACAAAAATTGGAGAATTCGGTCTGCAACAGCTGTATCGAAATTGTTGAGTTTGAAAATATTCTTCCACAAAAAAACATGAAACATGTTTTCAGGTCAATCCAGAAACTGCTGAACCGGCTCCGATTGTCGCCGAAGAAGTCTCAGAAACAAGTGAAGATAATCGAAAAAATGAGCCGCTAAAGTTGGTATTGATAAAGGTACGCGAGCAAATCAGCGGTCCAAAAACAAGATCGATGGCAACAGCTTGAAATTTGAAATAATATAAATTCCCTGGGGACTTCAAAACAAATTTTGAAAAAAAATTCTAGAAAAAATTAATACTCTAGTCTTTCTAAATATTTTTCATTCTAATTGTAAAATTTTAAAAATATTAGTAACAATTCTGAATTTGAGAAAAATCATTGATGAAAGTAGTTTTCATAAATAAATAAATGAATAATTTTCAGATCGCCGATGCTTCTTCTAAATCTGGCCGTGCTTATGCTATTAAGACTGGTGGTTCTCAAGCACCAAAAAAAGCCCGTGAAGGTTAAATCCTTGTTCACATATCAAATCGCTGAAGGTCTTATTCAATCTTAATTTTTCTCATAATTACTTAAACTTTACATTTTGCTACAGTCACTTTTAATTTTCGATGATTCATTTTCAACATATGTTGCTCTCCTTTTTCCCATTCAACTTTTTTCTGATTTTACCCTAGTTTTATCCACAACTCATAGGTCCATTTTATTATTTTTCCCAAAATTACAAGATATTATTTGCCACTTTTTCTGTAAATTTGACAATTATCACCAACTGGTTTTGAAAATTACTGGTGATTATTCACAACGAATTCCCCTCTTTAAGTATTACGGTCACTTTTATGTTTTAATTCCCAGCGTAATATTCACACAAAGCCATATTTTCTTTTTCTAATCATAATTCATTACATATTTTTATATTTATTAGTGATTTGGTATCACTGAATGCATGTTTTTGAATAATAAAAGAATTCGTGTTATGCCTGAAAATGTGTGGAAGACAGACGGGACCAATTTGAGCTTTGGTTTAATTTTAATTTTTATTGAATTTGAAGCTTCGTTTTCCTCATTCTTTCATCAATTATCTCGTTTCAAAAAAAAACAACAAAAAATAAAAGTGTTTTTTATCATTCATTGACAGGCCATCTGATAACACACAAATAACAAATAAAAAATAAGTGAAGCGTCTTTTCAAAAATTGATATCAGCTCTTATTTTTGTCCAGTTCTGTTCAATATACATAAAAAACATTTTTCAGGTCATGTTATACATATTTCTAGTGTTAATTTTGATTCAAACCGTTTCCGGGGCTGGTGATATTGAAGTTGAATCATCTGTTGCTAACAGGTAAATTATTTTCGAAAAAAAGAATTGAACGTGCGTTTTGAAAAAAATAATTATTTTAGATCGATTGCTATCAAAGGACAACTTTTCTGTGGTAAGAAGCCTTTCGAGGGTGCCAAAATCCGACTTTATCGAGTTTTCCAAGCCAACAAGGAAGATAGTAAGAATCCTGCGTAATACAAGAAAAGCATTCCCATTTTTAAATTTTCAGATCTTGCTGAAATTCTCGACAGCAAACAAACTTATGTAACCGGAATGTTCCAATTGGAAGGAAACACTGAAAAACGCGACAGAACCAAGACTGAAATTCAACCATTTGTCACAATTCATCACAATTGCGATATGGACAATAAAGAAACTGCTAATGTAGGATTTTCAAAGCAGATTCATCATTGAAAAATCCATGAAAATTTTCAGCAAGGATACAAACGCTGGCAAGTTCAAATTCCACAAGATTATGTTACTTTGGGAGTAAAGGCAAGAAAAACATATGATTTTGGAAAAATCAATCTTCAACTTGAATTTCCTGGAGAGTCGTATGACAAGAATTTCAAATTCAATGATTAAGTTAACGTATTTTTAAATATAAAGTTTCATATTCTCGTGAATTTTAAAATTTAGGGAGTTTGCCGTGCTCTAAAGAGTTTCATAGTATCACCATTAATCAATCACAATGCTCTACATATAAATCTTCTATCTACGCAAAAACATGTCTAATTAAATGAACATATTTCATCCTACTCATTTAGAATCAAAAAATTGATTTAAAAGGTTATCCAGGAATAAAATTAGAGACAGATATGATTTGATGTTTAGATTTTCATCCATGGTTCTTTGAGTCACGGGATCTTCTCTCACAGGGTTCTCATTTCCCAGAAAATCCAAACCACCCCAAAAATTTCCCTTTCTCAAAACAAAAGAAACCAAAAAACAGAAAAATCCAGATTTTTCTTTCTTCCACAAAAAAAATTACTCAAAAGTACACGTCTATTCATCTTTCTTTGTCTGCTACAAAAAAATTTTTTTTTGTTCGGTGAAACAAAAAAAATCCCAACGAAACATAAGAAAAACAACAACACAGGCAGCTGTTTTCTGATGTTTATTTTTGACACACCTGACATCAAGTCATCCGCAAAGTTTTTGGAATCTCGCCAACAAGCAACTGTTTTTTGCAATTCAATGAAGCTACGTCTTTTTTGAAGTCATGTTTCACGAAAACAAAAATATCAGTTTTCTGCTGCTTTTTTTCTTCTTCTTCACATCTCTCCATTTTCCCCAAAAATGACCTTTTGTTGTTTTTTTTCTTCGTCTCATTGTTTTTGTATATATGTCCATTATAGTGATTGTTATGTTCAACATTATTGCCACAATTTCCGTTTGGTGAAACATAATATTTTTGGTGTTTGTTCCAGTGAGAAAGAAAAAAAATGTCTTTTGTTATTCATGAAACGGAAGTTGCAACATATACATTTTTTTTCTGGTTTTTTATTTTCAATGTTTATGTAAAGTTTGAGCAAAAAATCGAGTTCTGATGCCAGTGAGAACCTATCAATCAATCTTTTCTTTTTTCTTTAATGAGTCATTGATGTTTTAGAAGCTTTTCAAGAAATAGCAACATAAAAAATAATGGAACAGCCAGAAAGTGTTATAGATATGAAATATCTGGGATTGTTCTGTTGTAAAGTTCCAAAGTTTGAAGGGAACAAATTAGAGATATTTTTTTCTAAACTGGGAGGCTTCTGACTTTGACAGAAAATTCAATCACATTGAAACACAATTGTGAACTTTTAATTTTTTTAGCCTTTCAATAATCTATGAATTTTCAAAAACTTCAATGATATTGGAAGATTCTGATGATCAAACATCTGGGGAATTTGAGCACTTTTTAAGGTCTCAAATTCAGAAATGGAGTGAAAAATTTGAATTTTGAATCAAAAATTGAATAAAAAATAATTTTTATGCTCAAAAAATTACCATTTTTTTATGTTAGATTAGGATTAATTATGAAAATTTGAAAAAATAAACTTTGATACTTTTGATAGTTCCTAATGTTTCTTCAGTTCTTCAAAAGAAGATTTCAGAATTGCAGTTTACTTATTTGCAGCTTGAAAACTTCAACTTAACGTTAGATTGGATTTAACTTTTTTTCCAACTGAAAACCCAAAAAACCCAGTTTTTATCAAAAATCTTTTGAAATTCTGCTTTCTGCAAAGAAAAACAACAGCTTTTGTCATGAATTCCCAAAACACAAATAGCCAGAAAAAAAGGTTCTAGAAAGGGAAACATGCAATGGTGTGAAAAAAACATGGAGAAACAATCAACAAGAAGTACTTTCGTTTCTACTTTGTCTCTATGTATTTTTGTCTGGTTCCGCATTTCAAGTTGTAAACGTCGCAATTATGTCAAAATACACCTCTCTCTTTTTTTTTCGCGCGTTTGTGTTGTACTTACACATGTTGTTGTTCTATCTATCCATATTATGAAAAGCCTTCTTTTTCTCCATTAAAGTGTTCTTTATATGTAATTAAATGTTCCTGTTTTTTATTCTCTCTTGTAGCTTCTATGACACATACAATTCAAAGATTATTTTGATATGTTATATCTTCTCTGATTATATGTTACTTTGTTTTTCGTTTATTTCATTTTGCTTCACAAATTTTTCTAAAATATTTTTTTTTCAAAAAAAATCATGATCAGATAAAATGATTTTCGCTCATAAAAATCCATCATTTATGGCAAAATAAACATTGAAAATATATATAAACTTTCTCCTCGTTTTTGCGCGGCGAAAAGTGAAAATGATAGATGGGCCTGTCTGATTCAGAAAAATGTGTCCGAAACATTTTGTGTTGTTGCCATTTTTCACATCAATAAGAAACAACAGACAAAATTAGAAGTGAGAATACAGTGTTTCGAATTTTTTGTTTATTATTTTTCTTTTTGCTGTTTTCTCGATTGGTCTAACCGGTTTTTCCAAACTTTTTTAGTGTGTTTTGTTTCCATCTTCAAACCTTTTTTTCTTCTTTATTCCATTTTTGGTGTTCAGTGATCTTTGAATCATATTGATTTCTGTTCTGAAGTACTGTAGAAACTTTTTTATAAATCTTTTTGCCCTTTTATCAAATTCAAAGATCTACCGTAGTCAAACACGAATTTTGCTGACTACCAGTTGGTAAACTAGTAATTAGTATTTTCTCACGTGGTAAAATCGTCTCTACTAAAAATATTATCTACTGATCAGAATGTGAAAATTTTTCAGATCTCTGCAATAAAAAAAATGAAAATATACATAAATCTTCTCGAAAACTTCAAAGTATCAAAAAAGACACTCTTGTTAGTTAGGAGGTCTTGAGAGTCATCAAATTTCAGCGTTAAGAAGCACAAATCCTATGGACATCTAGAATAAGTTTATGAGAACATGAAAGATATTTCGAAAATAGTTTTTGTCCGACTATAATCGAATTAATTGGCGAAATAAATTAGCAATGTTATTTCGAAGGATTTCGCAACATGATTTGATGACGATTGTTTCTAGAAACCCAGAACGGTTTTCTTGTGTTGGAGAATAATAGATCTTTTTTGGAAGTTTATGAAATTCTCTGAATTCTGGTAGATTTCTTGAAGTTTTTCCTCAGACTATCAAATGGTTTTTCCATTTAGAAAGTTCAAAACTTTTTGAAATGTTAATTATGGTCAAGAATGATTAATTTTCAGTTAAAGATGTCTAAATTAAAGAAATTTACAAATTATCGATTTTTTAAAATTCTTAATTTGACTAGAGAATAAAGACTTTTCCCGAAATTGAATGGTTTCCAATTATGTTCCTGATTAACAGTCCGAATATTATTTCAACTTCAAAAACACAGGCTTTCAGAATTCGTCAGATTATTTCAAAATCTGCCAACCAGCTGCAAGACTTCTCTCTCTCAGAAAATATGAAGTTCAATGAAATCATTATCTCATTACTCACTAACACCCGGTGCCATATAATCCCAGATGTGTTAACTTTCATAAAAGTACAACACCATTTCCCAAGAGTTTCTTTCTCTCCCTCAAAAAACCATTATATTCGAATATTTTTCTCACCCCCAGTTATTCATCCATTTTTTTCCTTCTTCCGTTTTTTCTTCTTTTACAGTACTCCATGTATGCACTTTCACCTTTCTTTTTATTTTTCATCTCCATTTCTCGGCCCAATCAATCCGCGATTGAAAAAACTTTCGCTCGTTCGAATTTCACGATTCCTCGCTCCCTGTTTTTCTTCTTCATCATCATCATCTTCTTTTTTTCTGTCTCTTCATGTTTCAATCCTCAACTAAACAATAACAAATGCCCTATATGGATAGATGTGTGTGTGTTTTTTTTATTCGCACTTTTTTGTCGCGCATGTAGCTTATTTCGAAATGTTACAATTTTCGAATTTTTTCGTCTACGCTGAATAATTGACATGTGTCCGGTATTCAGCTAGCTAATATTATGTATGTACATTGAAAAATAATAATAATAATAATAAAAATAATGACTGTATGTAATGTATGTAACAAAAACAGTTTTACATAGTCATTTTTCACCCTTTCCTTTTGTTATTAAAAAAAAACAACAAAAGTGTTTTATTTTTCAGCCTTTGATTTATGTTTTCATAACTACAAAAAGAAAAAAAAACCCTAATTACATCTATTCATTTCAGACGGCGTTTATTTTTTTCTCCTTTTTCTCAATCGCCGCATTTTTTTAAGATGCTGTTTTTTTTCTGTTGAAAAAAAGGGTTTCCCAGAAAAATGTTGAAAAATTCAGTAACCTATTCAAAAATGTATAAAAAGTGCATAAATATATATTTTCGCCTCTTCTCATATCATATTTCAACGTTTGGCAAAAAAAACCCAATATTTTTTCTCCATCTTATATGTATTTTCAATTTTTCATTTTTCTCTTTGCTGAAAAAGGTATGAGTCAGTTTATATTATGTACACTGTCCTTTGGTCCCTCAAAAAAAGTCGCAAAATTTTTGTGATGAGAAATAGAAAAAAAATAAACAAAACAACGAAAATTTTGGGCCAAAAATCAGTTGGTTTTCCAGATGTTTTACAAAATAGTTATGAAAAATAATAAACAAAATTTGTTTTGTTTATTTGACTTGAAATGTTTCGTTTCATTTCATTCTGTTGTTTTCATTTTGAAGAAAAATCAAGAATGATCATATCATTTGTTTTGATTTTACATAAATTTTGGAAAATGAAAATGATAAAATTTGTTCTATATTTGATATCCAATGTCTCCAATGATGTTTTAAATTTAAACATGAATCTGATTTTCGTTCGCAATTCTCCCATTTTGCATCGGGTTATTTTTGGCATCTATGATTATTTTTAATTTTTCATATAAAGTTCACACGCTATGTCGGCGAGATAAACAACTACCGTAAGCAGATCTGGTCTTTGAACTATCATTATTTTTATGAAACTTGAGAGACAATTTAAAAATAGCTGCTTTTTCCAAAGAACTTTGATTTGATGTCATCTTCGATATTAAAAAATAATGACGAGACTGAAAATTGTTCAAAAAACCAC